GGGGGGGTAAAAAAATTTCAACAAGCCTCAGAATGAAACATTTTAATGGAATACATGAAAATTCATTAATGATAAAGAATTACACTATATCTGTCGTCAAGAATTTCAAACACACAAAAAATCAATCATAACAGCATAGCATTCCTTAGACAACAGTCAATGCGTCTTACACTGAAATACACTGTGGATGCACAAAATTGATTGACTTTTCCTGAGAGTGGCATTCAGACAATACAACAGGATTATAACAGAAAAAAAACTTCCTCTTCACTAAACAGTTTAAAGGCGAATACAGAATCAAGTGGAACACTGAACAGCAGTCCAGATCATCGTACCTTTGGCTTCAGTAATAGTAAACGAGCTCGCCAATGTTTTTAACAGGAGCAGAAACAATACAAATGCATACTGCCAGAAATCAGGAGATGGGTGAAAAGTTTTGCGTACATCATACAACATATTTTTTTTAAATAACTTCTGAGAAGTTCATGCTCAAATCTCACAACATGTACAGACGCTTACACACTTCACCTCTAAGGGCAGCAGAAGACAGTACTGTATGAGAAAGTTCCTGCCACCAGAAAGCTGCTGTCCGCTATAAGTCATCTTAGATTCCAGTCCTACTCCAAGTCAGTTTGTGGAGATGAAGGGCTTGCTAATTGTAAGACCGTGGATTTAATTCTCAGACTCTGCTGACAAGGGCATTTTGACTTAAAATGGAAACCTGGAAACTGGCAGGGATAAAATACTGGAAATGACAACGGTATGTGATTAAGATACTGCAATTCTGCATTATGACTTCTACCGGACAAAAATTTTAAAAATTGAATGAAGTAGCGAGATTAACTCAGAGGAGCAACATCAAACATATTTTGCCCAACACTGACATCAGTTGCTCACACAGCATTTGACATATTATGTTGGGTTTTTTAACTTTTGAAATTCGGTTTCTTACATGAAATAAGAAATCTAGAGATTGTCGAGGGGTGCAAATAACGTTCAGCCATTTAGAATTCTAACTATAGAGACATCACAAATTAACTCTTTGAACCTTAAAAACTGATATTTCAGTCTGGGCCGCAGGTATGTATGGCCCATGTGCTCAATATATCCCTATTCCACTACTATCTCGAAACTGACCATCCATGAAAGCCCAGGAATCAGGAGCCCACATAAACTAGTGCAATCAAGGTTGAGACCAGAGGGTTTAAAGGGTTAAGACACAAAGTAACAAGATGAATTTGACATTACTTAGCCTGCAAATCTCAGGAGGACAACTGTATCTATAACAAAACATACAAATGCTAACAGATTTCACAAAAAACCATCATGCCAAGTGTCCTTGTACAAAAACACAATAATAAATCTATGAGCAGCCTGATGGAGGTCACTCAAACTCAAAAGTTAACATCAGTATCTGGTTAAACGCTAATTTTGGTGCAAGAAATCTGTGGGTGTCTAAAGAAGTACATCTTTCACTGATAAAAATTGTATAACCTATTATGAAGATGTTAATTATATGTGTGTGCCTAGTTAAAGGTTCCGGATGACGCATTTTTAGGAACAGCATTTATTGCACTTTCTGGTACAAAAATCATGTTTTAGCGATTAACCCTTTAAATAGGTAGCGTAAACACGGCCTCGCGGGCACTCGCGGCCTTCCGACCGCGTGGTATCGGTAAAATCGGGGTAATTTCGATCGCTGTTTCTTTGCTCTTTCGATATAAAACACCAAATGCCGTACACCTTGTAAAAGTTCAGCTTTTCCTTGTTACAATGGTGTAAGTTGTTTATATGTCCGATTATTAGGAGCTGGAGAATCGCTGACGAAAGCGAAGCCCCTTGCGGTCGGAATGCGAGGTCGGCCGGTTGAAAAATTGACACGCGTGCATTCAAATGCTTCGCGGAACGAGGGATGATGAAATACCGTCTTTTCATTGGCGGAGAACTGTAGAGCTTTAAACGGGCTTTCCTGTGATATAAGTTTAGCCTTTCGCGTCTTTATAGAAAGCTTTTAAAAATACCGTCAAAATATTTAAAGATCCCTTTTTACACAAAATATGTATAATACCGACTTATAACAAGTATCAATTAAAAGATCAGTTCATTTTCTATTAGAATAAAGTTATTAACTTGGAATTATTTTTCATCAATCCTTCCGCGAGACTCAGAAAGCATGTGACCCCGCAAATGGAACAGATAAATTTGGCATACAGCTAGTTTGAAAATTTAGTTTCTGGTACCTACTTTAAATGTTTAAGAATCAAGAAAGCTTCAGTACTATACTTTGTGAGATCTGATTAATATTGTTAGGTACAGTGTGGAAACAAAACTTTGAGAATAGTGGCTTGTGACGTTGGGTACATATGCAGAGAGCCTTCCTTCCTCCAGCGTATTGATGTATTTGTGCATGCTACACACAAGAAAGGACACAAGCTGACCTAAATTGTGATACAGTGGAATTCACTTATAACGAGTCCTGAAATAATGAGAAGTTTGTTACAAAGACACTTTTGTAAAATCCTGTTTTTTTCCCTTCTTTATCTTTGTAAATAAAATACTGCTATAACGCAAGCAGGCAAACTCGCGAGTTGGTTCTAGCGGAATATTGCTGCTGCTGTGCACAGCGCAAAGGCCATTTATTCATGTAAAACCTCGCCAGTTGAGAAACTTGTTGGTTATCTTGCGAAACAAAGAATGGGAGAGCCCACGTGTGCCAACAATGAAGGCCGGATTGAATGAGTGGGGAGAGTGTGGCATGCACAGACAAGCAGAACGCATCATGTGATAGGCCAGCCTTGTCTAGATTATCTAAGCCTACCATGCCTCTTACTTCTCCGATGCGGGGATGGAGAGGTCATAGTGCTGTACTGTGATGGACGGAGCGAATGTGTGACGTGGGCGGGGTGTGGTATGTTCCCATTGTACACAAGCAGACGGAATGGACCACAGGGTGTGGTGGAGTGGGGGACAACACAGCGGGCGAATTAGCCTAGAGAACTTTCTTTCTGATTGCCTACGCCTAGTTGTCAACATCGCTAGCGCTAGAGAAAGAAACCTGATTCGACTTTTGATCGAGCAAGACTTAATAAAGGTCATGTAGAACCAAATCATCATCGGGGGAGATTACAAAAAGAAATAAACCGAAAACTAGACTCAAAGATTAGGCCTACTTTACTATTTTCCTTTAATTTGTTACTGGATCCCGTATAACGAGAATTCTGCTATATCGGACATTTGGCACCGGTCCCCTCCCTCTCGTTATAACAGGATTCCACTGTATATGTATGTAGCATGAAGGGATTGGTTTTAATTGAATAAGTCATAGAAATCGTTGTCAATGACAATGCTAAATTATTCAAAGAGTGGCTTTGCTTTGCTCATGAATTGTAATACGGTATGAACGCTCAGAACCTCCCATCCTTTACTGTTTTGATACATTCAAGCAAAATTTACAGCTCGAGAAAAGTTACCAGCTGACCTAAAATATTTGGTATGCAGTGTGATAGGGGTTTGTTTTCAAAAAAGGGTTGTAGAAACCTTCTGCAAAGTAGGCTCTGAAAGCAAATGTTCACATGAAATTTTTCTTATTACCTAAGATGACTTGTGTCAAAAGACATCCGAGCAAATACATTTTTAGCATAAAATAAACCCAAATTCATATAAATATCAGTAGATGAATGACTGAAAATCATTTTTGAAATGGAACTCAATTTTTGTACAAAATCAGTTTTCGACTTTCATTGCCCTGTAACTCAGTTCGAGCAAATGCATCTAGTTGTACCTTTCTCCAGGATTGCACACATATATTCTAACCAATGAAAAAGGATTTCCACCAATGGTTTGCTAGCCTTGAGTGAATGTGCTTTATAACTCGACAAAAACAATGCTTAAAAAGATTATTACTTCATAGTTGGTATAAAGTCAACTGAGATGTCAAGCCTCTGCTTTTTATCCTAGTCTTTCACTAAAAAAAAAAAAAAAAAGAAGAAGAAAAATATTTTTAAAATAGCACGAATGATTAAAAGGACAATAAAAAGATGCTGCTAGTCCAACAAATAAGAATAAATAATATATATTTTGAATCAGGAGATTATATGAACCACAGGTAATTACGGCCAATCGGATTTTTCAAACTCTTGGTAGCAACTCAGTAAGACAACTGTCTATAGATAAACAACATTCCATTATTATGTTTCAAGACTGCTTCGTAATATTTGACCAAAAAGCATGTTGATTTTCAAACAGACATAGATGAACAAACAAGAAGATTGATCTTGCATCAAATATACAGAGATGGACTATTACACTTTATCAAACATTTTGGATACAGAGCTGTAACAACCGAAGAGGAAAGAAGACCAATAGAGCTTGTTCTTTTTAACACCTGTTGAACAATACCAATCTAAATCTAGTGAAACACATGTTCTGTAGCCAGTAAAAATGAGGCACATATCAAGGAAAAGGTAGATGAAAAATAATTCTCCAAAAGAAAAATGGCGGTGGACAATATTTTTTTTAGCATTTGAAAATACCCATACCCTGCATTAGCAGCTAACAAATCAGAAGTTTGTCTTCTTACAGCCACTTCAGTTAGTTTTTAGCAACATGAGTAACATGTGCCTCTTTTTGACTAGAATTCAGACAAAAATAGAAGTATGAGCTCAATAGCTCAGATCCTCTCTTGACAAAATACACATTTTATATTTTAATAGCAGACATTTCAGTCAGTCTTGATGCATTCAGCACAGAAAACATGCCAGAGTCCTAAGTCAACATTCTCCTAGATCTCACACTTCTAAAAAGTCTTTCAGCAAAGTCTGCCGTCGCTTCTCAGCTACATCCATTTGATTCTCCAAATCCTGTAAAAGACATAAGCGTAACCTATTAGCCACCTAAGCAACACAATATGACAGAACATTAAGTTACCTCAGGGCCTGTGGATTAAGCACCAGAAATTAAGTTGCAAAACTTAATTAAATTTCTTGGTACGCAAACAAACACAAGCAGACTTATGCACACACACTTTACTTTCGCAGATGTTTATACAGTATTAGGAGCGAAGTGATTGTGCAAGATAAGTGATTATGAAGCATGGTTGTAGGACCAGCAGGAAAGCGAAGGCCCTTGAACATTCTTATCAGGGTCACAAAGGACCAGCAGGATAGGGGTTTAAGCTTGGAACGGAAAACAGCTGGAGTCTAATACAAGACTGCTCACTTGCACTACTTTACACACTGCTTTTCTCCTGCTTTTTATATTCTTGCTATTTCATTTTTTTTTACACCCTCACTTCTCTCTTCTTCCAGCTACATAAGATAAGATCAATTACACTTTTTTTTTTAAACAAACATGCCTGGTATCATTTTAGAATTATTGCAAAATAAAATATTCCATCATTAGTACACTGCAAAAATTCTAAGCACATTAACATCATGAGTAACTACTTGGGAGTAATGAAGGAATGTTGCCTTGCTCACCAATATGCCACGACTGCTATCCATCAAAACACTGACCACACACTGCTTGATTCCGGCATATTACAAAAGAATAATAAATGAACATGCCTTTAGAATTTACCATGTAAAAAATAGTCAAATGCGAATGTCATCATAAACTAATTAGAAGTAATTGTTTTAGTAAAAGAAAAGAACACAAACAGGGCATGGTTGCAGACCAGTTACGTACCCCTCTATCAGTGATCTCCGCTCTTTCCACCTTCCAGGATAAATTCTCAACTTCTGCCTCCAACTGAGCTTGCTGATATTCAAACTGTACCAAACAGAAACATGTGTTATAACAGAAGATCAAGGTATGTACAACTGGGTCATCACCAACAACATCACAATCCCCTTCCCATGAAAAAAGTTTTTGTTTTTTAAATGTAAAAACATAGCTTTTCTCCAAAGCAAACACATGTGTGCACTTTTTAATCTTTTAAGTGTTTGTTTCTGTAAAAGTTTAACGCCCAACCAAACAGAAATACACTATTTCAAAGGCATACTCCATCCTGAAGGTTTCAGGGGTCCATTTCTCTTTGGACAAACCAACATAAAGGTAGCTGAAGAGAAAAGATAGTAAGATGTCAGGGTGACATCCCACCCACAGAGTAGCTGCACCCCCATTTGGTAGGACACAGATCATCTATATCCAGGGCTGCCTACCTCAAAGTTCTCATTTCAGGTAGATTCAGGGTCAGTTTCAGGTAGTTTGGCCCAAAATCAGGTAGTACAAAGACAAAGAAGGAAAAAAAGATGACCGTTGCCCCATCGAACGCGTTTGCTTTCCGTGATATTGAGTAATTATATTTTGAAAACTTGTTTGTGCATGCAGATGTGTGAGTGCATCTGTGTGTGCATGTGCGCATGCTCTCCTGTGTGTTTATATATGTGGGGAGGGGAAGGGGGTGTTTTAGTGTGCACAAGTTACAATGAGCAGTGTGTATGTAATGAGACGAGGTTGTTTTTTTTAAAAAGCATTTATGGACTATCGTTCAAGGCACATATCATTCAGTATTGAATCTGGAATTGAGTGCAGGGCGACTGCCAAACTGACTTCAAAACCGCTAGCCCATACCAATAGAAACTATATTAAAACATATTTCCCGACACTAGCAGACTGATAAGTCACAAAGTGACTTAGGTATGACAATTATTTTTAACTAGTTTTACCCTAAAATTACTAAATGAATCCTGATCTGGGCCTGAGGAGAGACAAGAAGAACATCAACTGCCAAAACCATGTTTGGTTTCAGCAATCACAGATTTTAAAAAGCATGCTTTGTTTATAAAACCTTTATAGTTAGGCTTACGGCAGAGCAAAAAGTGAAAATAAAAGAGCGTAAACTGAGAGCAGGAGCTGGAAGGACTGTGAGAGCATAGGATGTAGTGATGCTGAAAACCTGGCAATCAGTGAATCACTGCATCATGGACTAAGTATTGATTTTTTTTTCAAAATGCTAAATTACAGTACCAGTTTTTAATCAGCAACTAGCCATCATGATACATAGGCATCCAACATAGAGCTTTCTGAGGGATGAAAATGGCATTTCCTCATTGCCACTATTCAATTTGTCATCAATGACAAATCTGACAAATCCAGGAACACCAACCTTGAAGATACAATCATCAAGGCTGTGCTCTATTGTTCCCTCATTTACGCACTCGATTGTCGAAAGTCAAAACCACTTCCACTTATCGTTTTTATTTTAGCATCAGTTTCTTGCACCGCGGCCTTATCCTGCTGCCGTATACTTTATTGCGTCAAACACCTCCCCTCAATTCCGAAGCCCTGCAACGCTCCTACTTTGAATGAACTTTGATTACCCCAACAACCGCCGGCCGGTCCCTTACTCATACGATGCGAACTTGCACAGGTTCACAGACCGGTCACGATGACGGGCCCGACAATCCAGAAATCGGAGGACGCTTGTTTTCTTTTTCTTCCTTTTTATTTTGTTTGTCATTATAGTGATATCAGTGAGAACATCGATTTAATTTGTATGGCGACACAGTGTTTTTTATGCACAAACTGCATGTTACAAATTTTTATTAACTGTAAATCTAACTTTAACAAACTATCATTGAACAATTCTGAGCGGCAACGAAAGCAAAAGTAGATTTTGATTTTCCCGATGGAGTCTCTGTATTACACCTACACTTCCGCCAGTCGCCACAGCCGCTAATTGGGGTGAAACGTACTCTTGGATTGGGGCAAGCCGAACGTAATATCACAAACGCAACCAGTAAAATATGAACTCAGATTTGGTTTCGAGGACTTTATGCATTTTCTTGGGTGTCAGCGATTGTTTTTTTTTTCAGATTCCCGTAGTCCCCTTGGTACTGACCAATTCTCTAGACCAAGACATATTTTAGAAAGTTTTGCTTCGATATCGATTTTCTTTCTAAATTCACAATTCAGTTTTCTAGATAAATAAATTAAATGCACAAATTTCCAGCCGCAGCAAAAACCCGAAGATAGACAGAAAGAAAGAATGGATGAAAGGAAGGAGGAAGATTATCTATCGTGAGTAGGCAGATTTTAGCCAATAAGTACGTTAAAAACTATTGCCGACCGAACGGCACAGATAGACAATGGTCGAGAGTATGAAATAATCAATCTGGCAGTTTCTAACACAACTTATTGCCGGGAGTTGCCGTAAATATCTGACAAGTTACGGAGGCAAGTGCTGATCTCTCTCTCTCTAACGCATGGAGGTGATATGATGATGCGGCAAGTACGGAATTTTCAGAATGTACGGATTTCCCGCAGAAACAAAGAAGAATGGAAGCACTACAGAATGGGGGTTTTTCTTCTTCTTTTGGCACCCATCGCAGTTTTGACACCTTATCGGTATGGCAGTAGAACAGGCCCAAAATCCGTATCTACCGGAAAAATCTGTAGATTTAGGCAGCCCTGTATATCCCCCAACCTGCATGGAGTAATCATCAAACTTGCCAGTCAGCATATTATTCTTTCAAATAGAACATTTTCATCGAGATATGAGAAGCAGATAAGAAAAGCTCAAATAGACATGATTAGAGGAGAAATCTTTCATGTTTGACAATTTGATGCCTGAACCCAACTTCAGGTCAGTCCCCTAAAACAAGGAACTTCCGTTGAAAGATTTCTTTCAAAACTAGCTTAAAACTGTTGTAAGACTCATATAAATTAAAAGTATACATCACGCTAAAGGACAATTTAATATAAACAACACATCTATTTTTACACATTAAAAAGAAACCTTTGTGAAATAACAAATAAAGAATGTAAGTTCTATTTTTGAGCTTTTACATCCATAGTAAAGTAAAAATGGTGGATGAAATGAATATGGGCCCTAATGTATTAAAGCAGTCTAGTCTTATTTTCTCATCAGAAAGAGATGGGGGGGATTTTGGCAATAGATCTGTCCTCCTGAACCAGATTTCCAGAAGGGGAGAAGAGAGAATGAGGTAAGTACTGTATAATTATTTAGAAAAGGAAAGCATTTAATTCTAAGAGGTTTTTCAAGAAAAGTGACAGAGGTAAATGGCTTCAAAATTAAGGGCAAAAAAAAAATCTGAACACAACATTATGGCTAGTTTCACCTGCAAAAAACCTCCCTCTGTGCATTTCAAAGGATAAGGATGAGATATTGGACTAAGAGACAAAAGGGACAATGTAAAAGAGGAAAATCACATTACCCATACAAACTCACCAAAACTTTCCTTGAACCTTTGTCCATGTAGTAGGCATAGGGATATGTGTACTGTAATGTGTATCGACACTGTGGGGGAGAGTTAACAATTTTGAATTTCCTTTAGAACAATATGTACACCTAATTCAAAGTACAATAAACTCATGCTATGCATATTTTTAAAAGGTAAGCTCTCTGGTCCCATAAAAACATGTAAAGAAAACAAACCAACCTGCTTAAAAACGCAGTCATCTCCCATTTGAGCTCATACTTCTAACTGACTTTTGATGACAATGACCTGGACTTTGGCTCATCTAATACATTACAATACCTATTTTCTTCTGTAAAACCAGAAATTCAATCACTTCCCTAACAATGGGATTTGTTTTCTCTTTTTCAACATGTTTGATATCTCAAAATGGAAAACCCAACAATGTTTAAGTCAGCCTACCTTTTTCAGCAGAGCTGCTGCCCGGAGAAGATACTGCCAGTCAATCCAGGTGCCCTGATTGTTCATCACTTTCTCCTGAGTCCGAGTCGTGATCTTGGACGTGGTCGTTTCCTCCAGTTGCAAGCTCTTTGCGTGGTTTTCCCACTACAGAATGACAAGAGTTATTTTGTTTCAGTTTTTGTAAATAAGATGACAGCTAGAGTAACAGAACAAATTTCCAGGAGGTTTGCCATTTTTCAGGGACATAAGAGGCCATTCGCTACATTCATCCTATCCACCCTACGTAAAAAATTTTTAAAATAAAATCATTTCACCTACCTGATCTTACACTTCAATTACCTATACAAATTATGGGTTCTTGACCCCAAAGTGAGTGAAGACCAATAACCCCAATCATATATGCTCAAAATCTAGCACTAGAAAAGGAGACCGCATGTATCTCTTAAGAGCAACCATATCAGAAATAATTCACATCAAATTCAAGAAGAAGATTTAAGTCTGTCAATCAAAATGACATCAAACCTAGAAGTGGTAGCCCTGGTTCAAGGATTCAAAGTTGCAAAGATTTCAGTAAGGACAGGTGCATATCAGCTCTTACTTCATGCTCCATAAGCTAAAATGACGAGACCATAACTGACATATTTAGGCAGTCCAGTAAAAGGGTAGAAAGAAACAAGTAAAGTTATTTTACTTTTACGAAACTAGGCTTGCGCACAAGTGAGAAAGTCATGACTGCCACTGCCTGCTTAAAATCTAGAGTTCTTGAAAGAAAATTTAAAAAGAAATGCAACGCTCACCCGTTCATAATAGAAGAGGTATTTCTTTAAGGCTTCTCTGGCTTGAACATGCACAGATTCGTTGGCAATGTTGGGGTTCTCTTTGTAGCGACTGCATTCATAATACTCACTACCATGAGACTTCCAATCTGAAAAGACAAATTCAAAGGAATACTGTAAACTGTTGGGATTTTTATTTTCCATGTAACAATTCTCCATCCAGATCTGACACCGCTATAACAAAACAGTTATTTTTTATTTTTAGATTTCAAATGAATCAGAAAAAAGAAATACCCAGTATAACTGTTTATCTATATGTATAAATGAAGACGCCACTGCCACATGATTGGATGTTTTATGTGTATTCACACAAATAGATTGTAAGAAAATTCCCTTTTACACAGGCTTTAGGTAGATTTGAGAAAAGGTGAAAGAGAGCATATTCACAGTAAATTCGTCACAATACCAAATACAGCATGAATACGTAACAAGCAGTTGAATTTGAAGCCCTTACTTGGATCCGATCCTGACATTTCAGCTTTTCAAATACGACAGGAGTCAACAATTCAAGCTACATGTACAGACATCATCAATATCTCATATTTTACAGTTATCAATAATCATTCAATGTACACTGCCAAACTTTCAGAAAAAGACAGAGCATTGACTTTTTCCTTTCAAGCTGCACTTCTCAATTCAACTGATCAATCATTTTTCTAATTTTTAAAATCTGAAACAATGCTGTCCATTGCGAAAAAGAGGGGTCACTCCAGCTCAGAATCTGATGATTTCAACATCTAAACTCACACAAGATAGATTTGTTTCAACAGACTGATTGTTTATTCATATTCTACATCATATATCTTGAAATATGTCAAATATCTAACAATTTCATGAAAAAGTCTTTCATAATAAAGCAGAACAGGATATCACAATGCTGTCTTAAATGTGTCCCATGACTGTTCCCAGTTGGGGAGTTACAATTGGGTCTCAATAAAATAAGAATTAATAAGCACATAAGTAATTCAAAATCAGATGAAGCCTCGCACAAACTAGACACTCTAAAAGGTATAAACAAGCACAAACACTTCCAAGCCAAAACAGAATAGCAGCCATATTTCCTAGTAACCCAAACAAGACACATTTCTCCATTTAAAAACGTAATATCTTCTTGGATATTTTATGTCCCCAATTGCAATTTGCAGCCTAGCACTTAACTTAGGACTGAAAGTTCAAGCCTTCCCGAAGTACATGGAGTTAAAACAGCTGCCAATATTGCTACCAAAATGAAAAGCATATGCTCATACTCACCTCCTAAACACATCCAACAGAAGTCATATTTGCATTCAGGACATTGCTGTGAACAAATAGCAAAGAAAACATCAGCAAAAGGTCACAGGATACAAGGTTATAGGAACATCTTTAAAGTCGAAAGAGATATTTTTTCTAATGCAGTGCTTCCACCAACTGAAGCTGAAAAGTAAGGATGCGGCCCCCAGCAGGGTCCAGGGACAGAGTCCCAGAGGGGGTTCAGGGGGCGATCCCCCTGAAGAAATTGAAATTTAGGGCTTTTAGAGGGTTAAAAATGATATTTGGAAGCGTCTTTGAAGAGATTGCCTACAACCCATAACATTTATCTGTTCGCCAACATTTTGTATTGTTTGATTTTTTTCACCTACATATCTTTCCATTGTTGGCAATGTTTAAAAGCAGGTTCCTCTTCCATTGCTAATATAATTCAATTAATTTGTCATCGCCCGATTGATAGTTCAGAAAGCAAACCTGGGAATAATGAATAGATGTGCATCTTCACAATACATTTACCCAGCGTATACCCTAATTTTCCACAATTATCACTTCTGAATGTTGCATGTCACAACCTGAGAACACCACTTCGAATAAGGTATTTTCTTGATTTGAGTAGTTTCAGCATTTCTCTATTTCTCTGAACGGTTTCCGTTTTCAAGATTTTAATAATGGAGTGGCCCGCGCTCACACGCGTGTGTGTGTCTGTGTGTGTGCGTGTGTGTGAGAGAGAGAGAGAGAGAGTGAGTATGCGTCAGAGAGAGTGTGCGTGCATGTGTGTGTGTGTGTGTGTGTGCGTGTAAGGGGGGGGGGGGGGGGGCGTATGTGTAGAGGGATTTTTTGTGATACAGTTTTTGCTTTAGGGGTGACTTAATGCAAAATAGGTTACTGCCAAAGTCGAGCAGTCTTGATTTCTTGCAGCACCTTTTGAAGGCATTTTTAAATGAAGTATAGTCCGGGAACCTTGCCCCAACCACAATTGAAGTATCTGAACATTCAGACATCTAAAAATCTCTAGCTCTAGAAATTGAATTCTATGCAAAAAATGTTTCTTCCCAGTCCTCGCAGAACGGCAGAATGAAAGACGACCCCGAACTCTCGCAAATAACCAAAAAATCTCGAGAACGGTTTCGAAATAAGAGTTCGAGTTTATTTTCCTGAACATTAGGAGAAATAGTCAGTTCGTAATTTCTTTCATCGCGGCCCTTATCGCATTCCCATGCCGAAGAATCTTCACATTGATAATTTCTCTAGAGCTAGACAATAAATTTGCAAACAAGTTTCTTTCTGACAGTAATTTTTTGCCTAAGATCACAAGTCAATTTACTTGATCAACACGCATATTTTCCAGCCGCGGCAACAGTCCGAAGATAGACAGACAGAATGAGTGAATGATAGAAAGGAGGAAATTGGCAAAAAAAAGTTCGCCAGATTTTGATCAATCTGCAGGTTAAAATGTACTGCCAACCAACCCGCAATGAACGCATGGGGCATAGCGGAATAAAGGCCAATTGCAGGACATGCGCAATCTGGCAGGTCTCTAAAACATTAACTTATTGCCGAGAGAATTACCGTAAATATCGGTAGCTTATACTAGATGATACAAAGGTGAGTACGGATCTTTTGCTACGGAATTTCAGTAGTTATCTAGTCCTACGCTGTCGCAGTTTTTTTTACAGAGGGAGTTGATAATGATGGAGGAACAAGTACGGAACTGGCAGAAAGTACAGATTTCCGTAAAACTACGGAAGAGTGGAAGCACTGCAAACGTGCGAAATTATATAGGTTTAGCACCCCTTGCAACACTGTAAGATTATATAAGAGGCGGGACTAATTTAACAACCATCTCCGATAGGGTCGAGCAAAAGAGGAAAATTTGCATAAAGTGCTTTTCAGAAGGACAAAACATCAAATTAAGTTGAACGTCAAGCCCCCGTATCTGCAATCTCATGACTTTTCCGAGTCCTACGCCCACTAGACCGAAAACTATTTTTGATCACTTTCAACCCTATGGACATGAACACATACCTGAGATTTTTCTTCCATTACTCTTCTCCACACTGAATGCATAATAACTCAGCATGAAATGGCTCAAATCTAGCAGTCGACAAAAGTGAGCGAGCTAACAAAAACAGGTCCTGTCAGGCTCAGGGAGCCACAGCTCAATGGACTAAAAGCTGTAAGCTAACTTAGTGGCAGAAACTGCATTTGCCCTGATTTTTTTAGTTAACTAACAACAGAACATCTCTTTCTGAAAGCAGGGCACTTGGTCCTATGTCATTACACAGGGCTGACAAGAAATCTTCCAGGAAGAATAATTAACAGCCTTACATTGATACAAATCTCAATCTTTGAAATGCTAGTCAAGTTTACAGTCAAACATCACAAACCAAACTGCAGGTCATTGGTGACATATTTGCTTTAAGTATAATTGTATTAAGGTCACATACCATATGATTGCATCCTCCATTTTTCTCAATACACACATGGCACCGGGGACACTGAAAAATAAAAACGAAAAGAGTCTTTTTTGTAGTTCATGAATCTCATGTTCCTGTGATAATACTACAGGCAACAAAAATCCCTTTCACATCTTGTTTCTCCTATTTGGTAAAAACACATCTGTATTACAATTTCCCCAACACTGAATTAGAAAAAAAATCATGCACACTTCATCTACAAAAAGGTAAAAACTGCTCCCATGCTTTTCATAATAAATCCTAATATTTCCAAGAATAGATACTCAAACGTAAAAAACATATTGTTCTACAAATTGTAGCACAAGAACTAGACACTAATGCACATTGAAGTAGAAGCAAATATATCAATCAGTTATCAATAAAATCTCAGCCACAGCTAACAAATTTGCTAATTATAATAACAATGTTAATATAAAAACAGTACAAGCGAAAAGTCTGTTAGGGCCATTCCTGTCTGCCTATTGAGACTACAACAGCACAGAAACAGTACTTCTGAAAGTTATGAACAACATGATTTAGGAAAAATGGTTTTGCTGAGCCTTTTAGATGATCTATCAGTAGTTTCTGATATAATTGACCATATTGCCATATTTTTTAAAAGCGATTGGAAGTGTCGTTTGGGATATATGGGACTCTGTCCCAAGCTTGTTTTGTTCTTACCTATCAAATCAATACCAATCTGTAGTTATCAAAGGATACAAGTCATAAGATCATATTCTTATGAATGGGGGGGAAGGTTTCTACAGGGCTCAATCCTCAATCCAGTTTGGTTCACGATTTATACAAAACCACTTGTTAGGGAAACAGTTCAGTATGACTTAAAGTATCATTTTATGCTGACGATACCCAAATTTGTGGTTCAACAATGTCTACTCTTAGATGAACTTATCCATAGTGATGAAAATTGTATTGTCTCAGTGAAAAACTACATGAACAAAAAAACAAATTGATGTTGAAAGTTGATAAACCAGACGTCATTCTGGCAGACAGTGGAAAGTCTTTTAATGAGGTTGACAACTATCACATGGAAATGGGTGATGTGAAAATTGCATGAAAATTGCATTTTCAAAAAAAGTTAAAAATCTTGGTATCTGTTTTGATTCCAATTAGTCAATGTCAGCTGGAGTAAGTCATCTGATCCGATGCATGTCTTCAGAAATAAGAAAAATCAGTTATGTCATCAAATCAACATTAAGTATACTTTTTTTATTTGTAAGTAGCTTAGTTTTATCATAACTTGATAATTGTAACTCCTTGTTATCGTGAATATTGCTGGAGAAAGTGGCAATATGTGTGCAGTCCTCTCCCATTCACATCGGATCATTTCTATATATTTATTCTGAGACAAACAAAAGAAACAACTTACATCCTTGGTATGGGCACTAATGTAATTGGCAGTCTCAGAGTCATCTTCACACTTGGTGAGCCATCGCTTGATTACATCACACTCGGTGGGGGCATGGTAGGAAATGCCACAGCGAAAACTGAAAGAAAAGGAATACCACCATTTCATTTCCCAATACTAGCATTTCAATAGATGTAGTCTTCACACCTTTACAAATCGTAATATTTAATTTTCACACGCACTAAAAACTCAATGAACACCTCTAATTTCAAGTGAAACGTACGGAAATATTAACAAACTCGGAGACAATAATTTTTCAGACCATGTCTCCAATACATATTCAAATAATCAGATCAGCTACTCAAAAGCACACAGAAACATAAAAAGTACAAAAAACAACATAAACTTTCCCAAACAGTCACAATACTGCTATTTCGATTGGCCCCAAAAAACAAAAACAACAACAATAGAAAAAAAAAATTGCAAAGTTGTCATGTTGCGTACTATATAAAAACAAAATGTGTGCATGACAGTCAAGTGAAATACCGATCATCCTAGTCTAGTGAATTAGAAGGAGAAGCTTGAACCAACTGTAACCACTAATATCTACCCACTTAGAAAAAGTCACCTAACAATTTAATTATATTCAAGATACAATAGACACAAAACATAAACTACAAGGTCCCCACCAAATCCTGGAAAAATTTTTCAAAACCCCAATTCCGAGGGAAAAATAAGGCCGCTGCGCATCAAGAATGATCCCCGAAAAGGCCCATCTATCAATGATAAAAAGTGAAAATGTCTTTAAATGAATGCAAATGTACATTTTGTAGTAAAGTCTTCCAAAAATAGAAAATGATTATAATACTGGATGACTGTCAACACAGCTTCTAAATCTTCCAAGGGGGTGGGAGGGGGGGGGTCCATTCCCAGGAGCATGTTACATAACAATGACAGCGCGTGCTCCATTTATATTTAATATATGTATATGTTTGTGAATACACACACATGTAGGTACATTAATATCCAGTCAACAACATGTCAGTGTGGCACTGGGATCTTGTGTGACTTAGGTATTTCAGTACACTGTTCTTGCATCATATTAGCCTACATAAACTATTAAAAAAATGAATCCTGTTTTGAGCCTGAGAAAAGACCTAGAACCAGAATATCAACTGTCAATAACCAGTCTGCGTGTCATGATTCATATAATAAACGTGAAGACGAAAACTATTGTTCAAACTCAAAAGTAGAGTAATATTAGTAATAACTTGAATGGCTCAAGTAGACCTATTCAGTGTGAGAGGTCTAAGAACTGAGGGAGAGCAAGCTGCAGTGACACTGAAGATCTGCCAGTCTTGAACAGAAAGCTAAAATATAGATATAAATTACTATCACCCCATCCAATGAAACATGAACACTTTAGTTCAATGACAAGGCATGACGGATCTCGATTCCACACAAAGCCTGCACCAACACGCGTTTTGCAGAGAGCTCTTATGGTTGTTATCAAAATTCTAAATATTAAAAATTAGCTTCCAAGTCCAGTTTTTGTCCTCTAGCGTTTCCTTCATTCCCCCCCCCCCCCAAAATTACATAGTCTGGTCAAGGCTCAGACCGCAGGTAGTCACACAATGCCTTATCATGTGAAGCAAACGTACAGGTTCACTGACCAGTCATGACAGCAAGCCTGACAAAACGCTTGTATAACTTTCTTTTCTTATTTTTTTATTTTTTCACCAGTGACAGCACAGGACAAATATTGATTTATTTTCATGGTGACACAGCGTTTGTAATACACAACCTGCATGTTACAAATGTTGCGTTATCCATCAGACTAATACTGGAAAATTTCTGGGTGGTAACGAAAGCGAAAGTAGATCTTGATTCTTTCCGCTCGAGCCTTGGTATCACACATACACTTCCGCCTGCCGCCATAGCGGTTCAATTATGTTTCCTCTTCATGATTCATCAACCATACTGTCTAGATAGCTGCACTACTAATATTACACAGGCCCTATCCTTTCCCAACTTTTCCCCCGACTTTCCGACCGATCACAAAATTCCCGACTTTTTCCCAATTTCCTGACCTGGTGGGAACCCTGAAACTATGATAATAAAGAAGACTGAACAAGCGACGGGACAACACAGGCACATGCAGGTTTCCACAAACAATCTGCTCTTCACGTACCAAAAGGAGGCTTTACAAGTCTGGCACTCCACCTTCTTGGCTTTTGATTCCTTGGCTTTGATAATGACAGCACAGTCAACTCCGGGGCAGAACCTGAGCTTTGGGTGGGACTACACAGAAAAGAAAGAAAGCAGACAAAAATATTCACTTCTCTTATTCAAATTAGCTGGGCCCCCTTTCGATGATAGAATGAGCAGTGCATTAACATCAATTGAAAGTCATTGGCCTACTATATTTACACTCTACTGGAATGGAGCACTAAATCTTGAAAGATGCAAAAAATCAGAAGGTCTAGATAAATACTCTCAAAACAAAATGCGCCTCGCGAAATATCACTTCCGGCACTTCCCCTGAGAAGGACAGCTACGCAGATTTGTTTCATTTCTCAGTGAGATACTCACAAAGGCCAAAGAACGAGAGGAACTTTTGTCAAATATATTTTTCAAAATTCAGGAAATGAATAAATCAAAAAGAGAGCTCTGTCATGGGGACCTATTTATCTTTTTGCAGATACTTGCCAACTTTCAACTCTGTAGCTGTCGCATTTTATGGGAAAAGTGACACATGTGTTTCCAAGTTGCCAAATGTGTAATAGATTGGCGATCTCACCATACAATGAAACCTATGGTCTTTGCATTTCTTATATAAGTACCGTATAATGATTAACTACTTCTTGAAAGAGACTAAATATCAAGGACCAAATACGATTTCTTCTGCAATTTGGTCAGAGCTGTGAAGTAACACTTTTTATTCTTTAAAACACCAGAGCAACAAGAATAATTTCACCCGCGACAAAAAGTGAAAAACCAAAATTCTGAAGCTCAAAACGCAGTATTTGTCCACTGCAACAAAATTATTACGCAATTTAACCCCAAAATAAGGGACAAAGAAATTAAACCAATAATTTTAAGATTCAGCTTACAAACTTCATGGTTACTTCCTCAAAGAAAAAAATGAAACAATAATTGTCATTGAATCATGGTTTTAGCAACATTCTGCTCCTACATAATCCTCATTAGTTAAAAAATGAAAATTCAGAATACATTATGAGCTCTCGGTATAAAAACCCCACTGCCGGGAAATTCAAAACCTTAACAACAGCTTTGACTACATGGTTACCTTGATGAGATCATTGAATGAGAACTTGGAATATTTGTCTCTCAGTTTGGGCTGGGTCAGGACTTCACACACAAAGTCTTCTGTGACCAGGACCGGGCATTCTTTGGCCATACACTCAATAGCTGTCAGGAACCAGAGTCACAACAATTATAAGCTTGAGGGTGTAAAAATTCAATAAATGTCTAACATTCTATATTTTGAAACAAACATGCATTACAGCCAATTCAATCATTTTTTTAAACATCTAACGTCCAAAGAACTATTATAAGAGCTTGTAGTTCACTGGAAATTAATTCAAACTTTTCACTTTGAGATTTACACCTATGTTCACTTCACTACCAAAGCATATCATAAACCATTAATGAAAAAATGTAAGAAACTACACTAAGTATGCTCTTACTAAGGGAAAACAAAATGTAAAGGTTAACTGCTAATGAGTGTTCACAAAAAGTTGATGTTCTTTAAGATAAAGGACTCAGTCAATATGCTGCATTACTTTCACATCCACTCAAGTATGCCTGGTAGTTTATTTCCAAACACACCGTTATGATAAACAAGTATTCAACCTGTAGTGATTCCATCTTGAATCTGTGTCTGAAAATGCATGTCCCAGCAATCCTGACAAAACATGTGACCACATGTGACCCCGTGAAATCTGTCCCTAGGATAGTTCACACAACACACGGAGCACATAGGCCGAGGTCCAATCAGATTATCCTGAGGATGAAATAGTGATGGAATGAGCTTTAATTTCTCTCTTAAGCTGAATCATGATAAAACCACCAGGGTCAGAAACGCAAAAATTGGTTACTTTAGTTGGGAAATCTTAATTCATAAGTGGTAAAAAAAAATTAGAGTTTGAGCAAACAAAAGCGCATCGACACAAAATAATTTTGGTCATTAACCCTCGTCCTGCGGGAGCCGGGTTTACGTCGCCCGATAAGCCTATTTCAGCACCTCGCCTGCATTCTGGTCCCACGTCAGTCTGGCCCCTGGCCCATCGCACGCGTGCTGAGCATCATCTCCCGTTCAATTCGGGTCCCGCGTCGGATCCCCATTCGCGCGGGTCAAGTGTGTGTGCGCCAGTCTGCTTGAGTTTGTGGCCTTCTTCTAGAACTGCCTGCGTCGGTTCGTAACCAAAGCATATGTCTCATTCAAAACACACCAAGTTGGTAGCTCTAGATGTTCGTCCAATGAAATTATAGAAGAAATTGACCCACTTAGACATGAGGAGCTCGAAAGGATAGTCAGGACACAAGACTTCCATTTTTCTATACAAAATCTTTCAAATGAGCTTGATTTTGTATGAAATGATACTACCTGATAAAAAATAAGCTTGTTTGATCATTTTGAATAACATTGTGCAGGTACAAAGAACAATTTGAGTGCAAAACATTCGGAAATAGACCTATATTATCCCCTTTCGAACCCCAGGTCATTCATAACAACAAGAGAGTCTAGAAAGGTTATTCGAATGGGCGTAACTACTCGTAATGTCTTATCAGCTTGTGAGAGGGGGTTATTCATGTGTTTGTAACACTTTATGAATAGAAAGCTATGAAAGAGAGAGCGTTATTTTCATCATCGATTAACACACTCCCACGGTATTCATGGCGGAAACACACGTTTCTGGGCGTGCGCGCGCTGTACACAAACAGTAAACACTGAGTGACCCTGGCAGCTTGCCCGGAACGTCCGACATAATCAGTTGCTGATAAGATTCGCATCTCAGCACAGACGCAGGACAAGAGTTAAGTGGTGAGAAAAAGCATGACAGACAGAAAGAACACAAGGGAAAATAAAGAAGTAGGACCTACCAGTGGTGCCCTCCAACCAACCGAGATGCACAGGTTATAGAGAGAATGACAAGCACTGTGGGGTTGTAAAAGATCATCATATAAACTGAGCTACACAAACAACAAATTAGACACTTTAAAATGTGTAGGAAAACTTAAATGAAGTGATTAGAAGAATACACAGATTTATTGAACAAATTAATTTTGTGTGAATTCAAAAGAAAAGTTCAAATTTACAGAGCACTGATATCTCCATATTGCTTTTTAAAATGACTAACAAACCACCACAGCTGAAAGAGTAACTCTAATGAAAAAGTAAATCATTGCAAGTCTTTTTTTTTTTTTTTAGTAGTACAGGTTTTACGGCGCTCACAACTGCATAAGGTCATATGAGTGCCAAGGGATGGATGTCAACAGAGAAGTCCTTACAGCGAATCAGACTTACTCTGCTCGCCTCTCTAGCCTTAACAGCAAAAAGTCTGCTTCGACTATCAAGCCCCCCAGAAATAGAAGTTCACAAGAGGGACAAACATTCAAAAGAAGTGTAGAGAAAAAATGATGACAGTAAGGATGAGGAAAGAAAAAGCAGCAGTTCCCCCTCTGTTGTTCTGGCACAGTATGAGCATGACATTGATAAATCAGCCCATTTACAATTCTGTTGTGCATAGGAGCATGTTAATATCCCCCTGAGAGAAGAACAAAGGTCATTTAGAGCCATTGGAAAAGACAAAATCAACAAATAGAGATAGAAGAATGGAACCTACTATTTCTTGTTGGAGAGAAGAATAAGTGGTCAGGATGATTCAGAGAACAAAAAGCAAGAAAATATTTGGTAATGTGATGCCCGAGCTATAAAAAATATATATCATATACAATTTTTTTTTCTAAAAACCAGGACCCCAAGAAAGTTCAGGTTAAACCTTAGAGCATTCATCAGAATAACATTGAGTGTGTACCTAGCTTACGATTATTATTGTTTATATTGCTGCTCATTTATATTATGCATGTGATTGTAAGCCTACGTGTGTGTGTGTGCGCGCGTTTGTGTGTGTGTGCACATATGGTGAAACACCAAACCAATGTGCCAGGATCTGGACAATACAGATGTATCTTTTCTTATCTTAAAGGCTGATCTTGGTACTCACATGTTTCCTTCGACTTGTCAGGTGGCTATCAATCAGGAAACCTGAAGGATCTTTCTGATAGCTGAGAAATTCAAATTCAATTTCAAATTAATTAGTTCTTCATACCATATTTTACAAAAGTGTACATATTTTGATAGTTTATTGCACCCTGCAAAAGCCTTCTATCAGCAAGCATGAGTGAACAGTAATTAACCCTTAAAAAACCTTACAGCATCTGGTCAGTTTTAGCCCTCATTTTCCTCAGGTCCAGCCAATACTGATTGTGTTTGCAATTTTTGGCAGACATTAAAACAAAAATTCTATACTACTTTTGTTTTAAGTTTTAAAAGATAAATACGTTTTTTTCAGAGACCGCGATAGATTACAGTTAAAATATGCGAATGGATTTGAGGTAACTGACTCCCTGTGAGGTATATATACGTAACTCTGCCCAAGGAAACGAGAACTCATAAGGGAAATATACCCGATTGGAGCTGTAAGGGTTAATTAATTGAAATTTCCACTTTCTCCAATATTATTGCTGCAAACAAATACATAATATTCTCATTAAGTCAGTTCTACCATAAACAATAACTATTTTATCTGGCTTTCTCTTCTAACCTTTCTCACAAATATACCAAACTGCTTATTAAAAAAAGCAAGTTAAGAACTCTCAAAAAAACCCAAAAAACCAAAAAACCCAACATTTCATACACATACACACTAACAGAAATCCCCCCCCCCCCCCCTCACAAACACCTTTTCCTTTTTAAAATCATTGCTCCCATATACAGCAGCAAACAAAATTGTGGCTACAATTTTTCTGACAAACCATTTCACAAACATTGAACTCACTTTTCAATTATCTCTTCTTTCTGCCAGTTGTGACGGAGCAACAGCATTTTTGCCATGGACGGGCTAACCTGTAGATTAAAGAAATACACAAAGTTTTTATAACAATCCCTGGCAATACATGAAAATGAAACAGACTACCCAGACATCAGTAACTTAAATAAAATGGGTAACCCAAATGAAATTCTAGCAGGGGAACGCAAAATAAGAAGAAGAAAGGACTTAGAAGCAAAATAAAAAATATTTCACATTAGAATTTGAGGCTTTTTTGTTTGTCTGTCAATACTGTCGTTATACCTTGAAGATCCTCTTAGCATTTTTGGTTTCATGCTTTTAGTTAAATACAGTTCTTTAAATACCGACAAGAACTAATAGAATATTCAGAAGAAAAAAAATCAATTCACAGGCACAAGACAAGAAAGAAAGAGAATACACTTTAAAAGTTCCCTTTACTCATAATACTCTTTATCACTTCAAAACTCATGTCTACACCTTCCTATGAAGGTCCCCCCCCCCCCTTTACAAAACTGGAAATAACTATAAAAGAATTTACTGTTAGAGAGTAATACCAAGAACAAGAGCAAATTAAAATATGTCCAAAATATCTAAAATAGTTTACCTTCAATTTTGTACACAGAGCTTCAATTTCCTCATTCAAGAGCCTCTCAGCATCCATCACCTGAAGAGGTTCATATTCAAAGTATTCTGGATCATCTGTCTTGCTGGGACAATCTAGGTCAAGGTCATCTGTAGTGTCCATGTAGTATTGGTCTATGTCCTCATCCATGTCCTCTGAGGAGTTCCCATCGCTGTAGCAGGATGACGCCTCTGACATGTGGCTTAATTGTCTATTCACATCACCAGACATGATTGCTGTTGAATGAGCACTCCTACTTTTAACACCTTCAGGCTGAGAGAAATTGAACGACACTTGTTATGCTGCTTCTAAACTGAAAAACAGATAGGAAAATAGTTAACACAATTAAGCTTTTAACATAGATCAAGTCATCACAATCATATCATTTTCTGCAAGCAAAAGAACTGTGATTGATTGAAATTCATAAAAATTTCAACCTTTGATTAAAAAACAGAAATTTGAATTACAAAATACATTTTAATTTTGTGGGTGTGATGGTCAAGCAATACACAACGCCGAAAACTGGCCGAAATCGTGCCTCTTAGTTTCTCAGGCCAGCGACATCTAGAAGTCATTAAATCACCGTCGGAACCACTCCGTGCAGGGTTACGCGGGGGTCACTGGCCGCTCCGTTGCGCATCAGCTACAGGCAGGCAGGTCATGACGTAATTGACACTTTTGACACTAAATATCGGCAGTATCCTCACTCTAACCACGAATTATTCCATACAATAAGAAAAGAGCAAGATTCCCCCTCTCAGTCTGCAAAAACCCGATCTCAATGCGACGATATGTGCCGGTTACAGTGTGTGCAAAATGTTCTGAATTTCATCAAATTTAATATGTGTGTGCTGCACTTAATTCACTTTTAATTTCCAAAGCGCACGTCCAATCTCAACAAATTTTGGTACATGCACTGATGACATATTTGTGCTTTACGTGTATAATTTTCATCATTGTTTGAAGAATAGTTCTTGCAATATTAAGTCGCTTACATCTGATTCTCATCCAGTGCCTTCTTAATTGACCCGTGCAATTGTGTATTTTGGATTCTATGCTGTTTTAAGTTCAGCACTTCTCCGTTAATTTCATAGATTGTTATTTCTATGAAAGGCAGATATATTGTGCTTAATGTGTATAAATTTCATCTTCGTTGATTGAGCCGTGTTACGATATGAAGTAGAATCCATTTGCCTGTGATTCATTTCTGACAGGTTTACAGAAATCTCCCAACGGAACACACACACGGGAGACGTTCCTCTTCCTCTGAATGAACTTTGTTGCGTTTGCGAGTGTAAGAACGTGACTAAAGTACAACAGAGGCTGATTAGAAAGGCTAGGACATATGAGTCACTGCCAAGGGATATTTTATCATCCAATCATTGTTGACAAAGTGCACACTATAGGTTTGATTTTCGACTTTCTCAACCAAGCATACAGTCAAATTCATAATGACATCTCACACAGTGCACCTATTCTGAAAACTTCTATTCCAGAAATTCAGACAGCAGTAGACACGTACACGAAGCTGTACAGAAAACATTTTCCAAAAAAGAAAATCCCCAAACAGCGCAATTTAGAACAACACTGCATTCCATCCATAACACAATACGGCTTCGGCTTGGGCCCGCTGGGAGAAAAGGAACCAAAAGCTGCCACCAGTCTATTTAAAAAATTGAAAAGTGGGTTCAAGGCATCGTAAACAATACGGAAAAACTACGATACTTTCTGAACGCACATTAATTTGCTCCAGAGAGCATCTTCACTGCAGGCACCAAGAAAACAACCACGGCGCCATAGACAAGCGTATAGATCTACTTTACCAAATGTGTAAAGAAATCTGTGCCATTAATTTAATGAAGGATACTGTAATGAGAATTTCATCACAAGCCCGACAAATTTGGCTGTTAAACGAAAATGCTAAAATGTGGATTACTAATCTTCCAACAACGGTGTCCTTTGGTAAGTAGATACCCACATTAAGTGTCTTTATTCTGAGCAAGTTTTAGTGAATTTATTCCCGCACTTTGGTAGTTACATAACTTTTAATTCGGTGCATATTACCTTACTTGGAACATAAAAGACGGCTGTATTTGATCACATGCAGTTAAAAAACTACACTAGATATCTTCGTTCTGTTTTCACAAACTGTACATTGAGAGAATAAACTCAAAGATGGAACACCATGTGTATATTGATAACCCTGCTTTCATTCGTGAGCGTTGAAACAAAACTGTGTAAAATTGCCGTGGTATGTAACTTCGTGCGTGGAGTGAGCGCAGGTAGACTGACCGGCAGCTGACCCCGGTCATGCTGACCTAGCAGCGTACGGCCTGGCGAAACTAAACGACCGCTGATTCGGCGCTGTAAATAAAATCACATCTTATAAATTTAACAAATGCACTGAATTGAGTGTGGCAAATGTTTCACAATCCAAGACAGAGTTCTAAGCTTTAAATTTTCACAACTACTAACACTATACTTTCTCTGAAGGGAGACTGAGTCACAGCCAAAAAATGCCTCAGATTCTTCTTTAGGAAGGATTTCCAAAGCCAGAGCAATAAATCGACAACTAGTCTGACACAATCAAGAGGCAATCTTTCAGATCTGCAAGTTTTATTCCCATATAATATATGCTAGATTCAGGTAAGAAGATTATAAGGCGGGTTAGGGTAAATTGTAAGGGGTGAGAATAGCCACTTCCAAATTTTAACGGTTGGGGTAGGGTTGCTTTTGACTAGTCAGTGGGTTTTGCTCTGTTGACAGCATTAGCTTTGGAAATCCTTCCCAGAAACTGCTACACATGATTAGGCTATAACTTACTATAGCATGAAGCTACAGCGAGCACCTAGCACACCTCTGTGATTGGCCCAAATATAGAGGACGTATTTCTGTCATCTCCTTGGGCTTCCCTCGCCAGTTGACTAGATCTCACCATGGCGGGCCTGCTTTGCCACTAAGCGCGTGATGGGCTACGTCACTAGGTTTCATCACCAACTGCTTGGGCTGTGTGAGCGCGCGCTTGTGTGTGCGTGTGTTTGTGTGCGTGTACAACTTTGAGGAGAAGGTTAACTTATGGAACGAGATTGTTTATAAAATATAACACGAAGTAATTTTTTAAACCCCAAAAACGGTGAGATCTAGTCAACAGTTACTGGCGAGGGAAACCCAAGAGTCTTGGGCGAATACCCGGAAGACAACAAAATTAGATGGTGGAAATACATCATATATATTTGGGTCAACCACAGAGATGTGCCACATGCTCGCTGTAGCTTCATGTCTTAATTCTTGTCTGGCGTCTTGTGCCGAGATGCGAATCTTATCAGCAACCTCTTACGTCAGACGTTCCGGGCAGGCCACTAGGGTCACTCAGCGTGTACTGTTGGTGTACAGCGAGTGGCCCTGGAAACATGTGTTTTCGCCATGAATACCGCGGGAGTGTGTTGATCGATGATGAAAATAACGCTCTATCTTTATAGCTTTCTATTAATAAAACGTTAAGAACACATGAATAACCCCCTCTCAAAGCTGACGCTGAAGACATCTTGTTGTTATGAATGATCTGCCCAGGTTCGAAAGGGGATAATATAAGGACAATTTCTGAATGTTTTGCTCTCAAATGGTTCTTTTTACCTGCACAATGGTATTTAAAACTACTATCCTTTCGAGCTCTTCATGTCTAAGTGGGTCAATTTCTTCTATAATTTCATTGAATGAACATCTAGAGCTACCAACTTGGCATGCTTTGAATGAAACGTGTATGCCTCAGTAATGATCCAAGGCAGGCGACTCTAGAAGTAGGCTACAAACGCACACAAACTTAAGAAGACAAACAAACACACACTTGAGCTGCGTGAATTCGGGATGTGGGACCTGAATGGAACGGAGATGATGCTCTGCGTGCGTGCGCTGAGCCAGGGGCCAGACTGACATGGGACCGGAACGTAGGCTTATATTATCGGGCAACACAAACCCAGCCCTGCAGGACCAGGGTTAATATTAAAAGGACATTCTTTTATGGAAGAGGCTAGCTGTACTTAATGATGGCCAGACTGCTAGGCTAGCAGTACGGCTAGACTGCTTTGGCTAGACTGAAAAAAAAATAATAGGCCTACTGAATTGTAATTTAATTTATAATTTTTTGTTTGCAATACCTAAAGTATTTTTGTATTTGAGACGAAACCAGGTGCCTTACTGACAGTGCATGTATTTTAAACCTGAAAAATTACTCATGAGACTTTGTTTTCTAATGTTAATAGGCCCTAAGATAAGTACGGCTAGACTGGCAGGCTACGGCTAGACTGGCATGATTGCTGAAATGTTAATGAAATTTTTAGTTTGCAATGCCTCAAGTATTGTATCTCAGACAAAACCAAAAGGTGCCTTACTGACTTGTATGTATTTCAAACCTGTATAATTACCAGATCTAGATCTAATGAGACCCGTGTACTCAACAGATTTGAGTTAAAAGGGCCAAACCTAGATCTAAGTATGGCTAGACTGGCAGTCTAGCCGTACTAGACTCTCAGGCTAGCAGTACGGCTAGCCACTTCGTTCTATTATTAAGTTTATAAATGTTATTATTATTGGTAGCGTTAACTGCCACAGAGTGACGCTGTGACAACTAACGCGGCGTTAATTGCAACAGAGTGACTCTGTGACAATTAATGCGGCGCTAATTGCGACAGAGAAAGTCTGAGGCAAAAAAAAGAAGTTAAAAAGAAAAACAAACACACACACATACAAATACACAAGCGCACACACACACACAAACGCACACACTTTTGGCCTTATATAAATACGCGCACGTACACACACACACACCAAACTAACAAAGACAGTCTTTTTTTGCTGTTACTGGTGTTGTAACCTAGCGGATTTTGTTGCTGTTGTATGCTGCTGATGTTTTGTAGTAATATAATGTGTTAGAGATAAAAAGTCAACTCTACTTATTTAACTACACAAAGTGTATCTTTGCCACATACTTTAAGTTCGCCTAGTGTTTCAGATGATTTCTTCCTAAAGGCAACAAAATTTTTATCTTTAAATTTAGCAAAAGCTTTGTCAATTTCGTCGTAAGATTTGAATGCCTGCTCTAGAAAGCCTGCCTTGTCAGGGTGAGATTTAGATACTAGGCCTAAGACCACCACGCTGGGAAGGGAAGCGGAAATGGTAGATCTAATCTAGATGACGTTATTGTTAGATTCTAATCATCAACGTTAAAAGAGCTCCATGTTCACTCTGTCACAATTAACGCTGCGTTAGTTGTCAAAGCATCACTCTGTCGCAATAAACACTATCATTATTATTAGCCTAAGTCAAGTCAAGCTATTCTCGAAACGGAGTGTCTATGTACACGGTAACCGGGCACGTAGCCTCAGGGTCTACGTACACGGTAACTGGCAACCGGGCGTGAAGTCTCCATGTCACATACACGGTAACCGAGCGAGTAGCCTCAACATCTACGTACACGGTAACCGGCAACCGGGCGCCTCTCATTATCTAAGAACACGGTAACCGGGTATTTAGTTTCGTGGGGGGGGGGGGGGGTGTGAGCTAGGTGCACAGTAACTGCTTTGCTCCCTTCATGACGTTGACATTTATTTGTCTTTTTTCACCGTGTAGTCTCAATGTTGCATACACGGTAACCGTGCGCGAAGCCTAAATATCTACATACACGGTAATCGGCAACCGGTCGTGTAGTCTCAATGTCACATACACATGTACACGGTAACCGGGCGCGTAGCCTCAATATCTACGTACACGGTAACCGGCAACCGGGCGCCTCTCATTATCTACGAACACAGTAACCAGGTATTTTGTTTCGTGGGGGGGAGGGGTGTGGCGCTTGAGCTTGAGCTAGGTGCACGGTAACTGCTTCGCTCCCTTCAAGACCTTGACCTTTTTCCTTTTTTCATTTTCACTCCACTTTTTGAGGTTGTGAGTGGGCGGAATGTAATCCCACAAATGATCCCAATCTACCCCCTGTCATCTTTCCTAAGGGAGAGCAAAATGCAGTGACGACACTGAAAACCTACGAATCTGGAACAGAAAGCTAAAATATAGATGTTTACAAAACATGAAATAATATCACGAGAGAGAGAGAACGAGATTCAGAAAACAGAGAGAGGGAAAGGGAGAGGAAGAGAGAGAGAGAGAGAGAGAGAGAGAGAGAGAGAGAGAGAGAGAGAGAGAGGGAGAGAGAGAGAGAGAGAATAAAAAAGTATGCACTTGATGAGGTCATACCTCTCTCTTAAAACAAGGACAATGAAACAAACGTACTATCACCAATGAAACGCGGACCTTTTAGTTAAAAAACACGGCTTACTAGGTTTGAGCCATGACGGATCCCAATTCCGTACAGGGCTTGCACCAATGCATGCTTTTCCGTAGCAGGAAGCTCTAGTAATAATCAAAATTCTAAAAATACTCAAATTTGCTTCCATTCCAAGTTCAGTTTTTGTCATCCAGTGTTGCCTTCAACTCCACCCCTCCCCCCGACTGTACCTTTTTAAAAAATCGATAATTCCCCCCATTCCGGAGCCCTATACTTCGCACAGCGCACACTTTGAATGAACTTTGGTGACCCCAACCATCACTGGTGCACACAATGTGATGCGAAGGTACAGGTCACTGACAGGTCACGATGTCGAGCCCGACAAGACGCCTGTATAGCTTTCTTTTTTTTCCGCAAGTGAAAGCAAAGGACAATGATTTATTTTCATGGCCACACAGCGTTTGCAGGCACAACCTGTATGTTACAAATGTTGCGTTAATCAGACTGCTACCGGCAAATTTCTGGGTGGAAACGAAAGCGAAAGTAGATCGAGCTTCGGTACCACGCATTCACTTACGCTTGCCGCCAAAGCGCCCTGTTCATACCTAAAACTATCTTTTGTTTTTGTAAGAGTTAGCACTTGCAACACAATAAGTTCATATAAGTGCCGAAGATTAGAGGTGTTAGTGTTACAAGAGAGTAACAAACACAAAAACAAGAAAGAAAAAAGATTTTTTGAATAGGAGAGAAGGAGCAGACCACACCAGAGCACCCACCAACCACCCACTAATTATATACTATCTTTACACACACCACACTTACAATCACACAAAAATACATAAACACAGAGAGAGAGAGAGAGAGAGAGAGAAGGGGGGGGGAGAGGAGAGGGAGAGGGAGATGATATACTGAAAATCTGCGAATCTTGTACAGAAAGCTAAAATATAGAGATCTAATTTACTGTCACCAATCCAATGAAACGCGAACACTTAGGCCGTTTTCACACAAGACCTGCACCAATGCACACTTTACTTAGCAGAGAGCTGTAGTAGTAATCAAAATTCTAAACATTAAACATAATATTTGCTTCCAGTTTCAGTTTTTTTGTCCTCTGGTGTTGCGTTCAGCCTCCCCCTATCCCCGAGTGCGTCTTTTTAAAAAATCAATAAAATCTCCCCCATTCGTGAGTCCTGTAGGCCTAATTCGAAGCACTCAGAATGCGCACAGGTTCATTGACCGGTCACAATGGCGAGCCCAACAAGACGCTTGTAACTTTCTTTTATTTATCTTGCCCCAATAAGTGACGACACAGTGACAAATATTGATTTATTTTCTTGGCGACACCACGTTTGTAATGCCGAACCTGCATGTTAGTGTACAATAATTGTTGCATTATCAGACATTTACCTACAAATTTCAGGGTGGTAACGAAAGCGAAAGTAAAGGCTCACTGGACGCTCTGTTATTAAATTTAGGCTAGAGAGTGGGTATCATGCTGGACTATTGAGCGGTTGACCCTAGTGCGCCCTCTTCGAAAAAGAGCGAACTTTGCAAACAGAGTTAGGCCTACTCTACTACAATAAAAGTGACACTATTTTTGGCTGAGTGAACTATCTCTTGGACCTTCCGGTTACGGTGTACGTAGATACTGAGACTACGTGCCCAGTTACCGTGTACGTGTAGACCCTGAGGCTACGCGCCCGGTTACCGCGTACGTAGACACTCCGTTCTCGAAAAGCTGCATCATCAGCATATCATTTCATTCAAGTAACAATGGGTCAATGGGAATATGATGTCATTATGCCTATTCAATTGAATTGTCCAGTGTCACTCTAGGCTCAGCTTCACTTAACAACTTGAACTAGAATCTAGACTGACAGTGACACTACTACTTTTGACTTGTCTTGTGTGTGGTCCGTGGACTTAAAACTTCAGTAATATCATCAGTCAACAAGAAGAGTCAATGCATTAGTATGATTAGTTACTTCTCTTTCTGGACTCTCTCTCTCTCTCTCTTTAACTCCCACAACACACATGCAATAATATAGATCTAGACATCATCATGAGGCATGATATTGTTGGCATGGTGGTTTAGCCTAGATCTAGTTAGAGGTGACATAAACACCACATTACTGGCAATACTGGATTTGCTGCCCAATACAAAATGCCAATCGTATAGCCTGACACAATTGTGAATTTTTCTTTCATCTCCCCCCCCCCTCCCCCCAAAAAAAGAAGACCAAGGCGATCTGATTCGTTCAGGGGTTTGCGTAACGAAACTGACGCTTCTGATCCTGACGAGCCGTCAGTAGCAGTGTTTAGAATTTCGTCGACAATCGATTTGACCACGACAGCCGCGCAAGAAAAAGCGGGAGGACCTCTTCTGGCAATTAGAATTCTTATTACCTAAACCGTAATATATGTCTAACAGAAGACAAAGAAAACGATGAGTACAAACCAGACTCGCTTGACAACAGAAATAGCTGGATCAACAATCGCCAGTGCAGTGGCTGAATCAACCATAAACCACTTTATCAACAAAGACTTCCACTGCATTCACCCGGAAATGACGAACAGGATTCCCCTAGCTAAAAATAAACATTGGCTATCTTACGTTAGATTTGTACTATTTTTCTTTTACTTTAAAATCTCTATAATCTAGAAAATACTTTTTAAATAAATAAATTAGAGTAGCCAAGAGTTAATGTACATGCTCGTATGTCTTTTCAATAAGTTTTGACATCCTAATGCGCAATGTTTCGTTGCATACATTAGGCATTAGGCATAGCCTACGTACAGGGCATTCAGTTGCCGTTCGGAAAGACCAAAAAGAGTTCCAAAACTAAAGGGTCGCAACTCGGCAAAAAAAAAATGAAATGATGACTGTCGTTCCCTCCCAGTCAAACACCCAAACCTAGACGGTCATATAATCGCCTTATGATCGCCTAGACCCAAACGCATCACGCTAGGCTATCGCATAATCTGGGCTCAACGCACGAGTCACACACACACACACACACACA